AACCAAGGAAGGAAAACATACCAAGAAATAACGGTGTCTTCACTCTTCAGCAAAACTCCTAGAAAGAGTTGTCTGCTCATTATTTCCATTCTCTTTTATTGTCTCGAGGCTACTTCTTAGCCTTCGGGTCTCAACTTAAATGTTTGGAAGGACTTCGACCACTCAATCTAAAGCAGATCCTGGGGCATTTTCTATATGCCATCTATAATAACTTAGTATTTTCTTGTTCATTTACTAAACTTTGGTGGTGCAAGTTCGTCTTGGTCATTGCTGAAATCCCTAGAATGTTAATGTCTAACAGATGGTAGGTGTGAAATATAAATTTTTAAATGAATGAATGAATAAATGAGTACTCAGTGTGCTTTGTTCATATGTCTGCTTTAGCAACTTTCACACTTTGAGATAGGGGTGTGTGTGTGTGTGTGTGTGTGTATACCCTGATCACTTGTGAGCCTTGTAGAATAAGAGGGGCTACATCTTATTCATTATTTACTTTTGAGTATCTCAGGGTGCTTGCAGCTCATTGCTCTCCATTGAAGTTTAGTTGAATGAATGATTTAACTTCAACCTCTCATCTTTCCCCTTCTTAAAATTGAGTGACTTAAATTCATTTGGCAGGCTTTTTTGAAATCATCCATAATATGATAATAATAAACAAGAATGGCTATTTTGTAGTATTTTGGAGATAGAAATTTACTTTTATAATTGGACATTTAAAAAATCTTGATTGCATGAAACTGTCCTTTAAAAAATTAAAATAATGCAGTTAAAGTTGAGTTTCCATTAAACCACATCTAAGCCTGATTCTTCCTCTCCTCCCCAGAAATAGCTATTGTAATAACTTTAGTATGTGTCCACCCAGACCAATTGTTTATACTTTTATGTGAAGTCCATGTATTCATAGACAAAACACTACCATTTTGTGGTTGCATTTTTTTTTTTTAATATATAAATGGTGTCTTTGGGAATATGTGATGTTTTGAAATTTACTTCTTCACTCAATTCTTTGAGATCTAGTAATGTTGGTATGCATAGATCTAAGATCTAGGACACTCTTTTTACCTTCTGGGCAGTATTCCACCACATGGAATATGTCACACTTGTCCTTAGATGGACATTAAAGTTGTTTCTGTTATTTTGTTATTGCAAGAAGTGCTGCAGCAAACATCCCAGTGCATATCTCTTGGATCCCTTGCAAGAGTTTCCCCAGGCCCTATTCCTGGAGTTGTTCTTGCTGGGCTTGGAAATACTCACATGCCACCACATGTGGCCAAACCAGTGGTCTTCCTCAAGACCCTTTCACAGTTCTCTCATACTCAGTGTCAGCATTTTAAACTTTTGACAATATGATAGGTATGAAAGAAGATATCGTTTTAATTTTATTTCTCTGAATATTATTGAGGATGAACACTTTTGTATGTTTTTTGGTCATTTACATTTCCTGGATATTCATTGCCTTTGCCTAATGGGTTATTTCTCCTTTCTGTAATTAGATTGTTAGTCTATTTTATGTATTGCAAATATTTTCTCCATGTATCTAATTTTTTAAAAATTTCTTTTTAGGGTACTTTTAAGAGACCTTTTAGATTTTGATGTGGTCGAATAGGTATGTTAACTAACTGGAATTAAAATAAAAACTTAAAAAAATGCCTGGCACACACACACAAGTAAATAAGTAAAAAATATTTTGCTTTTATGACTTCTACCCTTTTGCAGATGGATTTTTAAGGAAGAATTTCTCCACCCCCAAGATCATAAAGATATTCTCCTATAATTTCAACATTAAAAGACTTTAGGCTGTTAGCAGATTTGCAAGTGATTTTTTTAAAGATTTTATTTATTTATTTGACAGAGATAGAGAGCATAAGTAGGCAGAGTGGCAGGCAGAGGGAGAGGGAGAGGCAGGCTCTCCGCTGAGCAGGGAGCCAGACGTGGGGCTCAATCCCAGGACCCTGGAATCATGACCTGAGCTGACGGCAGCTGCTTAACCAACTGAGCCACCCAGGTGCCCCGTGCAAGTGATTTTTTTGTATCATATGAAATAGGGGGCCAAATTAATTTTTTCCCATATGATGAGCCAGCACTATTTATTTATTTGTATAGTTTATTCTTTCTCCACCAATTTGAAATGCCACCTTTAACATATATTAGTAATTTTATAATTGTCTGACTCTTTTCTGGATTCCATTCTGTTCTATTACTTGAATAATACATGGTTCTAGTAACTGTGGCTTTATAACATGTCTTAATATTCATTAGGAAATTTGGCCTGCTCTTTGTTCTTGTTTCTTAAAATTCTGTTGTTGATTATTTCTTAAAATGTCTTAAAAACTATTCCTCCATATTTACTGTTTTAGAATCAATTTATTTCATTTCACAAAAACATCTGATTGGGAGTTTTGATCTATATTTAAAATAAATGTTAAACCCCACCAGATTGTTTACTATTATTTATTCCTAAAGCCATCAAAATGTATTCGTTAGCTTTCCGTGTGTATTATCGCTATCAGATAGAGCAGGGCAGACCCAGGTCTTGCGGGACCTAGAGTCGATACAATTTGAGAGCCCTCTTTAAGAAAACAAATGCAAAATTGTGAATGCAATAGTAGGTGCTGTGTCTTGGGAGGGGCCTGTACAGTGGGGGGAGGGGTACCTGAACCTCTAGCATTATTAGATTCATGGTAAACCCATCCCATAGAAGCAATCTCAAGAACAGGGAAAGTCCTAGCGAATGGTGCTTCTACTCCCACTAGTTCGAAACTTCTAAGCTACATAGGTGGTGTAAGTAATAAAATAACAATTAAATCTGCAGCCTCAGTCATGTTTTCAGTTGTGTGTTATACAATACAGTGCCCTGACTTTTCCCTCAGATAGCACCTCACATTTGAGGATCTTAGGACACATTATGAACATTAACTAATTAAACCTCACAAAACCCCGGAGACACAAGAAAGAGAGATGGATTCACCTCGCCCAGTTCTGAAATGCAGCCACCTCTGGGGACAAGCGTGGCCCCTGCTTACTAATAAACTGCAATAACCCCACGACAGTTCAGCCAAGACAATTAGCTGTTGTAGTTGGTAATTGTGTCCTGAACATTAGACTGTCAAACAGTGAAGTCAGCAGGATTATCTGTTCATTGCAAATCGAATCCATTCTTTAAGGTCTCTTACTTTTTTACTAATTTTATCTTAATTATAAAAGAAATATATGCACAGCGAAGGTCTAGTATTTTTCTTTTAGTTGCTTTTTTGGGTAGTTCTTCAAATTGAAAACAAAATAGGAAAATCTATCTTTAAAAACATAGAGTAGAACTTAAGAATAGGGAATTATTGATATGTGTTTTTTTTAACTCAAAAAGTATGCTGCTGAGCAAAACAGATCAATGATGGTAGAATACAGAATAGCATTTGCCTTTAAGTGGTATATTGGCTAGACAGGGAGATGAAGGAAACTTCTGGGTGCTGGGAATACTTTAGGTATTTGTTTGGGTGGTTGGTACATGGGAGTAAATATATGTAGAAGTTCATGCATTTTTACCAATTGCACGTTATATCAACAAAGTAAATTAACATAAAAAGCACGTGGCTCTTGTCATCATGAGAATGCTGGAAGCCCCATTTAGACTTTCTGAAAAGTTTTGCAGGGAGTAGGACATATTCAGGAGCTAAGACATGATGCATTCCACCAAGCATGTTTCTTCAGAAGAGGAATTCTAGGTCCTTTACTCCTCTTTCCAGACACTTTCTCCCCATGCCCAAAGAGCTACCCCTTATCCTGGGATGTGATTCTCTTTCATTGTACCTTCAACATTATGTACCTCTCATCTATGCCCTGTACACTTTCCTGGCCATCCAGTTTTTTTCTTAGAATTTCATTCTGTTTCACTCAGCCCCATCTTTGCCAGAAGCAGGTAATCTGAGGATTTGGGGTTGAGAGGCATCCACAGGAGCCATTGCCCGGGCTGGCACAGTGGGAGAAGAAGAAGCTGAGAGGATAGGCTACCTCTGGCCTATCCGCAGTGTCTGACGTGATCGTCAGAGACAAGAAGGGCAGTGCAGAGGGGCAGCCCCTGGGCAGATCATCCTGGGGTGGCTGTGAACAGATGTCATCGCTAAGAATCCTCCAGCAGAGCAGACACGGGGGCAACCAGAAGGAAGAGGTGGGAGGGAGGAGGGAGGGGGAAAGGGGAAGCGAAGAGAGACTGACAAGATAGAGAGAGAAGGGGACAGAAAGACAGGAAGAGAAATAAGGCCCAGAAGAAAGACAAGAATGCAGAAGGAGGAAGGAGAAGGGGGTGGGGGGGGGGAAGAAGAGCTTTGTAGACAAAAGTGGGAAAATTTTTTTTTCTACTGTAATTTTTAGTGAAAGTTAAAGACACAAACACTACCCTGATTATTGACTTTCCAGAACATACTGAAACAGTAATGCTCAGCTCCAGTTCTTCTTGCTTAGAAAGCAGAGAAGTAAAAATAGTGGTCACTGTCAGACTGCATGCTTAATATTTTCAAACAAAGGAAAAGCAGCCCTGTGCTAATTAATCTTTTGGCGCTGACATGGCTAATTGTGGTCTTTCCCACGTGCGGTCTTGAAATCATTTCAAAGCCTGCGGCCCAGAAAGTTTCTAATCAGTTGTTTGTAAACTTTAAAGGGGGGTTCCTATGAAAGGAGCACTGGCTCAGGAGCCACAGAGGGTGAGGACCCCCTCTCCCCGCTGTGGGCCAGAACCAGGCCCCGGCCCATCGCTGGCATCATGTTTTCCCCATAACTCTATAGGGGTGGGTATCACTTTATCTCCATCCCATTCATAAGGGCCCTAAGAGGTCAGAATTGGGGTGGGCTCCCCACTCCCCACCTCATGGTACTGCCCTCTGCTCTACCATTCTTCAGATGTGCCGCAGGTGAGAAACACATCAGTTTCCCGGCTGTCTCCGGTGTCCTGTGGCTCTGCAGATGTTTATCATCTATTTTCTGTCATTATGCCACTCTCTCTCTCAAAGATGCTGAGCTCGGTACTAGCAACCACAGTTCCCCGAAAATAGTTGAGGAGCCACGGGAACCTGTCTCTCCAGAGGCCATGGAAGGCGTTCAGGTAACGGAGGTCACTCATCCATGCCTGGGGCCCTGGGGCGGGTGTGGGGCTGCTTGTGTTGTGAGGTGCTGGCTCACGACTGAGTTCTGATGCCTGCTGTAGAAAAGGCCTCACTAGCAGTAAGACTGGGGAGGCCGGAAGGAAACCTGGGTGCGTGTTTGTAACAGACGAATCAGAGCCGCATCACTAGCTTCACGAATACAGGTCAGAATGGAGTTTCATCCCTTCTCTTCCTTCCTTCTCACCCATTCCCTGACTTCAGGAGGCTGAGGCAGATAAAGCTGCTCATTTAAAGCCAGGTAGAAAATCCAGACATACTGAAGACACTTACACGCTGCCCACATACTCACATGAGGACCTGTTTTCCTTCCTGCCCGATCGGGCTTTGGGAGCTATAGAGATGCCCTCCACAGCTTCCCAGAGAGCCACTGGCTCCACTTGTCTCTGCCCAGCCTCAGCAGGAGCCGCCCCACCGCCCCCCCCCGCGCCCTCCTGCTGCCAGAGGTCTGCTTGTGCTGCTGCTGCCTTCGCCTAAAGAAGGGGTAAACCCACAGCGAAGGAGCCCACAGTCAGCCATGTAAGAGATTCCGTGGTTTGGCAGACGAGCCAACAGATCCAGCTGTTTGTTCCAGCTTTGCCAACTTCTGACCACTGACGGGTTTGCAGTAATATAAATGCCCAAATTTACTGGGCTCTGGGTGCTCACATACTCCTGCGGGACCTCAGAGCATGTCTCTTGTGTCCTCAGGGACAAGGCCTCACCTAGCGGGTGGGGCAGGAAAATGGGATAATGTTGTTGGCCTGGTCCTACATCAGCCCTGTGTGTGGCCAGAATCCCAAGGTGTGTTTCCCTACACACCTCCTTCAGCTTCTGGTCTGCCTGACTTCTCCATCCAGCTGGGCCCAGAACCCCTCCCTGAGCCCAGGATGGAGGGCAGGTGCTGAGCCATTGCTTCTAGACTGTAGCCTCTAAGTCTTTTTTTTTCTCCTTTTCAAACTTGGACAAAACAATGTTCCTCCTTGCCCATCAACTCATGCAAAGAAAATCTTGGGAAAAGGAGGATGGAGAGAGGACCTTTATTTTAGCACTAGGCCACTTGGCTTGTCCTCCCAGATTTCCACACTGTCTCTATGGAAAATGAATTCTTAGGCCCCAAACCACAAAAGGATCTGACCTATAGCTGGTTGGCTATTATATTTTCAAGTGCTGATTTAGTCTCTGCATGGAGGTTGGGCATGCACAATGGCCAGGCACTCTGCTGTGTCGGAGGGTACTCATGAGACCAAAACACAATGCCAGCCTTTAAGAGGTAGTGACTTGGAATGGGAGAGGAGAGCTCTAATTCAGTATGTGGAAAGGAGGATGGGAAGAATCTCAGAGGAGGGGACTTTTTAAAGAAGGTTGTATGACATGGATTAGGTTGAGGGAAATGAAGCTGATGAATGGAATTAATGAAAAAGAAAAACTTAGTGCTAAGGGCTTCAGCTTTTAGCAAAGATAGAGTAACAGAGACTAGATTTATTCTCCTGCCTGAAAAACCAAAAAGTGGCCAAAATATGAGATAACAGTTTTTAAGACACTGCTTATCATGTAGCCAAGGAGAATGATGGGAGAGATGGGAAACAAGCCAGGTGAGTCTCCGATTGCCCTGGACTCCTGCCTTGAGAGAGTTTCAGGCCATGGCACAGGGCAAGAGAACCCAGTGGGAACCCAGTGAACTCCCTGAATTGAGGAGGCAGATCTGTAAGTCCATGGAGACTAAAGCTGCTAAGGTTTGCAGGACAGAGTACCAGAGAGGAGAGAGCTGCACAGAGAGAGATGTTAGACACCAGCAGAGGGTTGCTCTTGAGTATTCAGCTGAAGACCAATCAGCATATGTGGAAATAGTGAAGGTCGGGCTGAGGAAAGAACCTCCCAAAAGGATTCGAGTTTACAGTGCCCAGTGCTCATCCAAAGCTGGAACCAGTGCCTATTCCTATCAGCCAGACTGGAGAACCTTACGATTCATTCACAAGGCACTGGAAGAGTGCACAGAAGAGTCTTGCATCAGTAGCGGGGAATAATTAGCTCTAGAGAGAGCACTGCACCAGTCATGTCTAACGTATCTGTAGACCAATAACCAAAAGGATCAAAGTGCTCCCAAGTGACTGAGTCCCAGAACAAAGTTCAAGAGTGTGTATAGGAGTGCAAAATTAACTAGCACCCACATAGGTTAAATTACAGTGTTTGAAATCCAAGAAGATATTACCAGGCACCCAAAAAACTCAGAATGTATGATGCATAGGTGGAGATAACCAGTTGAAACCACCCTAGATCTGAGGCAGAAGTTAGAATTAGTGGACAAGAACATTAAAACAGTTATTATAACTATATAAGTTCCAAAGTTCAAAGAGAGACATGGAAGATATAAAAACACCCCAAATAAAACCTCTAGACATAAAGACTACAATTCATGAGATGAAAAATACACAGAAGGATCAACCATAGATTAAACTTTGCAGAAAAAAAGGTGAGTAAACTTGAAATAGAAATGAGAATTAAAAAATAAAAAAGATCATTGCATCAGTGAGCTGTGGGATAATATCAAGTAGCTAATATGTGTGCAGGTGGAGTCCATAAAGAAGAGGAGGGAGAGGTTGGGACGGAAAAAATATTTGAAGAAATTATGACTAAACAAATTCTAGATTTTATGAAAACAATAAACCCACAGACACAAGTTCAATAAATAGCAAGCACAAGAAACAGGAAGACAACTGTACCAAAGCCCATCATATTCAAATAGTGGAAAACCAGTGATAAAGAGAAAATCTTAAAACCAGCCAGAAGCGGGGAAGAGGCAAGCTGGGAAGAGAAGAACAAAGATCGTAGTTGCAGATTTCTAATTGGAAACAATGCAAACAGCAAGACAGTGCAGTCGCATCTTTAAAGACCTGACAGAAAATAAACTGTCAGCCTAGAATTTTATGCCCACTGAGTGTCTTTCAAAAATGAAAGTAAAATTTTCATCTACACACAAAAGGTGGACAAATTCATTACCAGTGGACACATCCTACAAGAAATGTTGAAGTCCTTCAGGCAGAAGGGAAATGATACCAGATGGAACTCTGGATCTACACAGAGGAATGAGGAATGGTAGCGGGATGGGTACACATGTAAGATTTTGTTCTTATTATTTATATCTCTTTAAAAGATAATTGATTGCTTAAGTAAAATAAAAACAACATAGTGTGAGGCTTGTAGCAAATGTTAAAATGAAATGTATGGCAAGAACAGTACAAAAACCAGGAGGGGAGAAATGTAAATATACTATTTGGAGGCTCTTCTACCATACCTGATGTGGTATAATATCACCTGAAGATAGATGTGATAAGTTAAAGATGTATATCATAAACCCTAAAAAAATTGAAGCTACAAATTGAATTCAGAGAGTTATAATTAATAAACCTACAGAAGAGAGAAAATGGAACCATAAAAATATACAACTGGGGTGCCTGGCTGGCTCAGTTGGTAGAGCATGTGACTCTTGATCTCCGGGTTGTGAGTTCAAGCCCCATGTTGAGTATAGAGATTACTTAAAAATAAAATCTTTTAAAATATATATATACAACTAATCCAAAAGAAGGCAAAAAGATGGAAAAAGGGTATCAAGAACAGAGGGACAAATATAAAACAAATAGCAGGATGGCAGACTTAAACCTAACCATATTGATAATTACATTAAATGTAATGTACATTGAATATCCCATCAAAGATCATATAAGGCCAAGATAGATTGGATGAAAAAGCAAGACTCAATTATATGCAGACTACAAAAATGCACTTTTTTTAAAGATTTTATTTTTTATTTGAGAGAGAGTGCACAAGCAGGGGGAGGGGCAGAGGGAGAGGAAGAGGGAGAAGCAGACTACTCACTGAGGTGTGTAGGCTGACTCGGGGCTTGTTCCCAGCACCCTGGGATCATGACCCGAGCCGAAGTCAGATGCTTAACCAACTGAGCCACCCAGGGACCGCAAAAATGCACTTTAAATACTAAGATTTACAATAGGTTCAAATTAAAAAGATACAAAAAGATACAGCGTGTTAACACTAATCAGAAGAAAGCTGGAGTAGCTTTATTCATTTCAGACAAAGTGGATTTCAGCACAGAGAATATTACCAGAAATAACAAAGATCAAGAGAACATAACAATCCTAAATACTTATGCATCTAATAGAATTTCAAAACACATGAAGCAAAAACTGATAGAACTGAAAATACAAACAAATAAATAAATGACTATATTTGGAGATTTCAATATACCTCCCTTAATAATTGATGGAACAAGCAGAAAGTAGAAAATCCATAAGAATATAGGTTATAGTCGGGCGGAGCAAGATGGCGGAGGAGTAGGAGACCTGGATTTCGTCTCCTCTCAGGAATTCAGCTGGATAGGGATCAAACCATTCTGAACACCTACGAACTCAACAGGATATCGAAGAAAAGAATAGCAACAACTCTCTGAACAGAAAAGCGACCACTTTCTGGAAGGTAGGACGTGTGGAGAAGTGAATCTGGGGTGATATTCGGGA